TAAAAAAAATTTAATAGATATTATTAATTAACTTTAAGAATTATGAGGGGTCGGATACTTATGACCGCTACTGTAATACAATTAATTAATTTTAAGTAATAAATATAATATATGATCGCTAAAATTAAGTCTGGTAAATATTTAAGTTACGATTCATTTATGTTTGTACTGCAACTTTGAAAAATCTGGGACATGACGAAATTTATTGAACGTAACCTTTCTTTATTTGCTAACGAGAAAAAACTTGAGAGGTAATATAAATTTAGATTATATATACGGTATAACATCATAAAAATCTACAAGAATTAAGAATTAATGAAAAAAAAATTTTGTATAAATAAAGTTGCAGGTACGTTTTTAAATAAATAGAATCGTACCATGCACGCAATATTATATATACATACAGAGTTATAGATACGGTATGATGAGTAAAAAATATTCATACCTGCAAAAATTTTATAATACCGTACCCAAATGACGAAATCGTAACGTAACCATTTAGGGGATACCTTGTACCTCCTGACTCTGAAGAAGGCGAAGTGGTAAATAACGATAAGTTGATCCCTTGAACATTTCTTCAAGAGGACCTTGGATTGTTCCGGCTAAGATTGGCACATAAAATATATTTCTGCTAGAGCAATTTAATCCTCCGACAGCATGCGCAATTAAGCGAACTGGATTTTGTTGATTTAAATTCTGTGTACAATTTGTGAAGATTGTTTAGTTCATCAATGCCGAGGATAATCATGCTAATATCAGTGTCAATATCCTTGAGAACAACATCAAGTGCACCACTAATCGTGATTTTATAATTTTCGCCACACATCCTCACAAATTTTTCATAGTCATAAGTTCCACCGGAGATAAAATGTTCATATAGAATTCTCAATGCGACTGATGTTTCGTCAATAGGTACATCTACCGACTTTGCAGGAGTACCGTTGCCAAAGGTAACATTTACGGCATACATCCTATCTTTGATTCTATTCAATAATTCATTGTCATTCTCTCTATCTTCCTTTCTCACACGCTCTTCTCTTTTATTTGTTCATCTTCCCCTCTCTCCCTCTCTCTCTCTCTCACACACACACTCTCTCTCTCGTACAATTTTCGATTTGTTCACGTAATAAAGTTGGAATCTCCTGTAGGAATCGGCTCTTGCCAGTACCTGGTCCATTAGCCAATAGAGGGATAGGGTGGTGGTTTCGATCTGTTTCATTGCGTTTTGTAAATCTTTCGCAAATTCCATTCCGACTTCCGTGGCCTTCCATTAATATTTTCATTGTTTCCTCTCAGCCTTGAAGAGGAAAGTTGGCACCTGATACCACCAACTGATAGAATATATATAAATTAGTGCAACCAGAAACAGAAAAAACAGGACAAAAAGTTAAAAACAAAAACATACTTTAGGTACCACAGTTTCAGCGGGACGCTTCAAGGTCATCATCCAGTTGTAAATAGAATTAGCGTCATTCCAATCAACCCCATCTAAATGTGTCAATAGTGGCGGGTTAGAATACAAAAACTAAGACCATACAAAGCTATTTAATTAGAGATACCGTACCTAGTGGAACACCTTGTTGGGAGGGACCTGCTTTAACGCGAAAAAAAAAAGATCAGGCTAAATCGATATTTTGTTACTGCTAATTTCTTGTTCGAGAGGTAAAGCGTTGGGAGACACTTACCAGTGGTGGGGATAATGGCGATGACATGGATATTAGTCAATGTAAATTCTTCACCATTTAATTCATCTACAAAATAGTCTTTAAACATTAGTCTCATCTTTAAGTTTTTCTTTAATATCAACTTCATCAACAATATTAACTTTCCAAAGTTTTACTGCGCTTCCACCAGAATTGGGAATATTATTCCTATCACAGATATAATTCCCGAGTTGATCAACTTTGAATTTGTCGAAGTCATAACTCTTATTTCTAAGCTCGGTAATTATTTTGTTATCATTTTTTTTATAAAAGTCAATCGAGAAAGTGTCAAGACTGTCAGAAGTTTTGTCGCTTAGAACTACACAATTTAATGACGTTTCCATTTCGATTATATTGCTATAAAAGTGAAAAGCTGAAAGAAAAGTTTAAGGAAACTTTAAGAAAAGGTTTGAAAAGGTGAGGTATATTTATACTTTATATACCTTTCCGAATACATCGTGACATAGACTCTTGCATAAACTTTTTGTGGCGTAATAATATAGATACTTCGACAAAAATTAATAAACATAGTGAAACAGTAATTTATCAGTACTGAAAAAAAAATGATTAATACAGTTTTATCATTTACTCATTAGATTTTGATTCTCCGACGAATTCTCAGGGTATTTATCCCCTGCGTAACCTTCAAAAAAATGTCACGAAATGTGGATAATATAAAGATAATAATTGTAATATGCATACATCGAAAAAACACTTCGTGAATAAAGACTCATTTTATTTACTAAAATAATAAGACTTTTTTATTTGCTTTTTAAAAATTTAAAGACATTTATTCTTATTTTATAGCTATTTTTAATTATTTTTTATATCACGTTTATAAATAAATACAATTAAGCGGTATACTTATAGATTTAAAATTTAATAAAATTTATCGCAAATTTTGTATTCTTTATTCTTTTTTTCAATGTAATAATCCACCAGAACAATATAAGCAACGGCATATAACATAAATATAGACTATTAGGAAGTAATTATTTCCAGAAATCACAAAGTATTATTCTAATAATTAAATTATTTATATTATTTCAAATAACGAGCGTTGTGAGTATGATCTTTCCAAGTACGTGGCATTGTTCTCCGACGTTTATACTGATTTATTCATAAACCATGGTCTTGATTTGATTGAAATTTCGTTCAACTCCTTGAACCCAAAGAAAATTTCTTGATTGCTTTTGTTCCTCAAGTAAATTAAGTGTTTGTTACGTTATATCTATAAGATTTTCAAATTTATCAGTATTATTTGTTTCATCGTTATTAACATTATTTGTTTCACGAATATCATCTTCTCTATTAACAGTATCGATATGTATATTTAATTCATATATAAGAGTTTTATCTAAAATTAAAAAAGGATATTGATTATTGCATCTAAGAATTTTAAATAAAGAAAAATCCACCGGTCCTTTTAAATTTACAAGATGTTTACATAACATAAATCTATTTGTAAGATAATATGGGCATCCACAAATCCAATTTTCAATATTAGTGTAATATTTATTGAAATTATTTATATCTGATTGTTTTTGAGCTAGTTTTTTCCATTCAGACTTGATTGCTTTTTTTCCCATCTAACATTTAACGTCCAGAAATCTGCTGTTAAAACTTTCGCTGTTGATGAGGAATCAATTTTACAAGTAATATATATACTAAAAGATCCAATCGCGGATGAAAAAACTTATATAAAAGTTTCTTTTGAGGACTTTCCAGTGCCTTTCAACAAACATTGTTGTCTTTAATATAGATAAAGTATTAAATGCTGAACACATCTAAAGTACCCATCTATCCTTAGTATACCATTCACGCCACATATATGACCATACTTGTACAAGTAAATTTTCCTTGCAAAAAGTATACATTTCTGAAGTAGCTTGCTTTCTAATTGTATCAGCTGTTAAATTTTGTTGAGATATATCTGGAATTAGAGGGCGTTGATGAAGGTGTTTATTCATTAAATTCCAAATATGAGATAGAAATTCTTTAAGACAAAAATTTTTAGATTTATATATACTATTAGAAGGATTAAATTCAATATCAATGAATTTAATGCTGCTATTGGTTCATAATTATCTCGTTTTGGAAGGTGTATTTTCTTTAATTTTGTTTCTACTGCTCGTTGAAGATGCCAATGACATAACTAAATTTTAGCATTAGACCAAACTGTTTGTCTTGCTGAAATCTGTGAGAAATTCTTATCAGTTAAAAAAATTGAGAAATAATTCCACGTGATCGAAACTCTTTCAAAAATTTTACAATTACATTTGTTTATGCACCTGAAATTTCATTTCCATTATTGTCTAAAAATAAGTAGCCAAGTGGGTATCTAGTGCTATCAATTTCTGCATATAATACATATAATTCAAAAGTAAGATTATTCATATTATCTACAAATATATAAGTTAATTAGGATAGGAAAATATTTTTAATAATAAATTTAAAAAACCAAATAAACTTACATGTTGTATCAATACCACATTTATTAATTTGAATGTTTTTTCTTTTAACTCTTTATAAATCCTATTGTAAATCCAATAGCTCGTATTGGTTCTTTATTTATAATAATAATTCATAACCTTTTTTATAAAGCTAGTCATATATTAAATTATAAGTATCATACTTTCGTTTATACTATTTAATCATATATTAGGACTATCAATAATATATTTATTTTTGTTACATAGCTATAGACATTTCTTGTTTAACTAATTGTGTATAAATTACCTGTAGAAATAAATCTAAATTTTACATAATATAGTTTTTAATCCAATCAGGAACAGAAAAATCAATTGGTATTATATGAAGATTTTTATGTTAAATGTGAATATAAACATTATATATACTGGTAATTATAAATAGTTTAATTATTTCATTATAACCAAATCGTTCTCTAGAAGTTATATTATGTTGTTTATTAAGATTAGATTTTTTTTAAGGTGATTTTAAAATTCCATAACATTAAACACATATGTATCAAAAGCTAGTAATAGTTTTTTTATATTAATAACACTTATTATAACTAATAATATTAATTGATTAGTTTAAAATATTTAATTATAAAAATTATTAAAAAAATTTGATTCACATACATACTTCTATTTATATTTATTTGCATTTTAAACTGCTTTAATAATAATATCTCAATATTTTTTAGAACTTTAAAAGTAAATTGATATTAATTGCTATCTCAAAATTAAAACTTATAGTATATTCTATTTCCAAGTTTTCTTTGTCACATAAACTTATATATTGATCTATTACAAATAATAATTTATCTATTAGTTCCTCAAATTCTATTAATTATTTTTCAAATAATTCAATTTCTTTATTTTCTAATTGTAATATATCATAAGATTATTTTTTTCATATTTTATTATTTGATGGTAATTAGAACACGTCACATAAATATTCTCTCTATCAATAAACATTTATTTATTTTGATTTTTTTTACAGCCTAAATATCATTTTTTTTATCGTATTTTCACTAATATTTATATTAGGTATTTCATATATAAATGACTTCTGTATATTTATTACAAATATTAAAGAAATAAATAAATTTATTTATTTTAAAACAAATGTAATGTAAATAAATATTAAATTATACATATTCTTATATGGGTTGATTGCTAGGAAAATCAGGTTCTAGGAATTTTTTAACAAAATTGAGATTTTTATTGCATTTTAGTTTTTGATGTTATTAGATTAAAATGTATTAAGCTCTTAATTTAAGTCAAAAATTTCTCAGAACCTGATTTTTCTAGAAACCCTCCCATATTACTTTAAATAATAAACATTAATTTTAAGTTTTTGTATATTTAGAAAAAACACATTTCTATAAATTTAGTTTTGAATTTTGAGTTAAATATATGATATTTTACAATAAAAAAATATTATCTTTCGCTTTGTTTAAAAATGAATTTTATTAACCATTTTTTTAAGAAAAAGATAAGTTTTTTTAATAATAGCTTTATTATAATAATACTATTATATGTGTTTTATAATATTATGATTAGCCATATGCTATATAGTCATATTTTGTGATATTTTTTAAAAGTTATGCAAAGGAAGTCTGCAACTTAAGCCATCATACTATTATTTTTTCTAAGTATAAATGTTATAAACTTATTAAAAAGAAATTAGTCTATCGCTTTAAAAGAAGTGTTAATAAAAAATTATTAAAGTATAAATGAGATAGAGATATGAATAAAATATTTTTTTCACATTTGTGAAGAAGTGACTTAGAGCTTATAGAATTAATACCTATTTTTAATTTCAAGAATCTTATTAAGAAAGAACATAAATTTTCAGTGAGTTTTACTAAGATTAATACTATTAATTTACTTAATTTATTTCAAACTCTATCATGTTTCATGTATAACTGACAATTATTTTATTTTTCTATCTAAAATATTGATATTAAGATAAATAAAATTAAAATTAATATTAGGATATTATATTAGTATATAGATAGCTTAGATGAATAAAATACCAATAGGCATTAGTATAGAAATATTATTTTATATTGTAAAATAAGTTTATGTATTACTAAATCTTATAATTTATTTTTTGCATTAATAAATCAATAATTTTGATAAGAATGTTACCTTATTTTTTATCTATGCTAACAACTTTTAAATTATTTTATCTTATATAAAAAATTATTATCAAATATGCAATCCACTGATTTATTGAGAAAATTAAATATTAAGCTCCTAGTTGTAATTGTTAAACTTAGAAAAGAGAATGCTAAGATTCCCAAACTTAGAGAAAAGTTCACAGGTTGAATAATAGTATACCAGAAAAGAATCATAAGCCTGATTCTTTAATGATTATTTAATGATTCAATATTAGTATTATTCTGATACTTACTACTAATTAGACACAGATTTTTGTTGCATTTCTAGATAAAGCCAGTAAATGATATGGTATAAATACTTCATAAATATCAAGTATAATTGTCAAAAAATCGGATTCCTGATTTTATACAAATAAATATCCAAAATTTATTTGATTAATAGCCAAATATTTTGAAGTTTATTAAAGTATAGGTTGTAAATAGGTCAAATACTAAATCAATGTCATAATTCTGGTAGTTCTTTTATTTTTACATAAAACTTTAATTATTTATTTGAACTATCATAAAAATACCGTTAAATAATATTATATATATCAAATAGTAATTGGTAATATATTATAGACATCTTGTTTACATCTGATAATTTTGTTACTGCAAATAATAAATGTATCTGACATTATTGTTTTATTTAATTTATTATAATATTTGTTGCAAACACAGTAATAAAACTAGTTAACTACATATGTTATTACATGCTTTTATAAATCTATATAATACTTTTATGATACAATTAGTAAATGAAACAAAGTGAAACACGATTAGCTGAATAAAAATACATTATCCCTTATCCTATTAATATCTTCATTTAGCTGTTGATTATTATTGTCATCGAAATGGTATAACTGTGATATTGACCAATTGGGTGCTTCTTTCGGCAGTTTCGATTTATCAAACCATGTTTTATCTTGGTATCAGCGATGACATATAATTTTTACATGGCTGATATTTTCACCAACTCAGGTAGCCAAATAAAGTAAATCACGTATTTATTAAAATGAAAAAAAGAAACAGTAAATAAATATATAATATGTATTATTTTATTTAATATTTAAATACTTACATGACGTGATCTCTAAGGTTTATCGTAAACATGAAGAATGTGTTTGTCTGCTTCATTTTTATTTTTAAGCTGAATATGTCCTTTAATTTCTTTTTTTGTTAATTTCTCGTCAGTTTCAGAAATTTTGTTACTATGAAATCTACTTTCATTCATCAAGGTTTCACAATTCTCCTTAAACTCGTCCTAAGTTAGAGATATTAGTTAAAGATCTTTAAGTAAAGAATCGTTAATATTGAGCATATGAACGATACCTTTCTGACGTCGTTCTTTTTTCTATTATCAATAAAAATTAAGGATTATTCAACAATCAATATTACAAGATCTCTTAATACTTATATCCATTCTTTGAGAATTCGTTCCTTTCCTTATCCTCTCTGACTTAACTTTATATAGGTCAAGACTAAAGATGATCCCCATAATTATTTTCAAATTTCAATTGAGTTGCAACTTAATTGCGTCATAAGAAAATTTAATTGCACTATAAGTTGCAACTCAATTGCGCCATTTTTTTCAATTGCGGTGACTATCTTTAGTCAAGACTAGTCTTTCAAGATTCTCTACAGTGACAGTGTAGACTTTGTAAAACCCATTTCAATTCTACATCTTTATATCAAAATCTTTCAGTCAAAGCTTTATCGATTTCTTTCATTATGTGTTTTGAAATATGATGTACAATTTCTGTTCATTTTTTAGTGTAATCTAGCTATAGCAAATCATCAAAGCTATTAAGAATTTATACTACTTCATCTTTAATTTAATAAAATAAAAAAAAATAAAACAGTTAATAAATTTTAAAACAATTGATATTTATTTGACGCTTACACAGAATAATTTATATTAATCTTTATCCATATCATCAAATACAATCTGACGTCAACGATACTCAGTTTCCAGTTTTAGCATGAGTGAGGCATCTCTTTGTATTTGATCCTTTGGAGCTAAGGCTGATGACTTATGAAGAGTTGATGATTCGTTTTTTAATTGAGATTCCTTGAGACTACAAACTTCTTCTGTTAGTACACTGAAGCTCAGCTTAAAATTTCGATATCTGTAAATTTAAATCATATGATCAAGAAACTTGTTAGATAGTTTAAATTATCATATCAATTTAACAATTACTATTATTTCTATTATATCTTGTAGACGAACGTCCCCTCTGAGTATTTGGTAAACGGCTGTAACTTGATAATGAATGTCTATCTGAATAAACAGAATATATAGAACTATTCCTCTTTGATGAACAGAAACGATGATGGCTTTTTTGATAATGATAATGTGGCAACATTAAGTTTATACAATAGTTTGTATAATAATAGTTATGAAAAGATGAATTAACAGTTAATCTTCTTGAACCTATTTTCTTGATTTTGAAAAGTTTTCATCTATACATATTTACTAAAAATTGAATATAATTATAGATAAAGAAATTAAAGAAATAAAATTATCCAAAAAAAAGGTTTCTAATTTTTTTTTAAAAAAAAAATAAAAGGTAAAAATCATTAATCATTTCTTTTTATACCTTCATTTACTTTTGAAAATATATAATATTTTAATTTATTTTTCTTTTCTGCAATAATAAATAGTAATGAGTCAAATGTTAGGAAGAAAAGTTCAGATCATGAGAAGAAAAGGATTGTGATCTGATGCCTTTATATATGTTTTTTATATTATGTAAGATGGAATAGTATAGAGTATAAAAAATCAGATGATCATATCATTTTAATTGTTAAGATGTTTAAGTTTAAATCATAATAATAGTCTATTACGAATAATGGATCAATGATGACAATTATATATATATAAATAATATGTTCTAAAATTTTTTTTATAAAAATAATTTTTGTATTCAAATTTACAATGCCAAGAACTTATCAAAAAACCAAAGAATCATTTATAAAAAAATCTAATAAACCCAAACAATATATATCAAAGAAAGTTTCGTATTATTGCAATAAATACAAAGGTTACATGGTTGATCTATGTACAGAAAAAAAACACAATTAAAAAAGGAATATTAGACTAAGAGGAATTATTGAAGATACACAATCTATAAATTTAAATCAAGGTTTGCTAAATTAAGGTTCACCAGTAGTTCTTTCAAATAATTCGAAATATTATACTGTTGAACTTAAAGTTTATTATTATATACAAGATTTTATAATCAGATATATTATTAAAATTTTTCTTATTTTAGTATTCATAATTGTGATGATAATTAATAATCTGATAATTAATGATTAATAGTGTGATAATTAGAGTTCCAAAAATAACTCACATAAACTCGCATATTTGACTCACATGATTGTGCATAATTGTAAATTTTAGTTACACATAATAAATAAGTAC